TCTCTCTCTCTCTCTCTCTCTCTCTCTCTCTCTCTCTCTCAGTGGAAACCCAGGGAGTCTTTAGGGAGAACAGAAATAAGTCCAATTCTGGGTCCAATACATGGTCACACTCAGGCTCTCCTATCCCACCTTACCTCTGAGGATCTGCTCCCCCTTTCTCCACCCTGAACCCCCACATCTGGGTCCAGTGCCAGGAAGCTAAGCCATACGGACAAGTATCCAGAAAATGAAGTCAGTGCCCTATTTTTCCCATGAATGTTGAGAGAATGTAACATGGTGCATAGAATGCTGATCTTTTGAATGAAAAAGACATGGGTTCCAATCCTACTTCTCATCCTTTCTAACTATGTGAACCCTGGACAACCTGCTTAACCTTCCTGAGCCTTGGTTTCTTCATCTGTAAAATGGGGATAATAATAGCACCTACCTCATAGGGTGGTTGTGAAACTTGAATGAGATGTTTGTAAAGCATCTGCAAGTATCCAAGGGCTATTTAAATGCCTGGGTTAATGCCATTATTTTTACACAAAGGATCTGTGATTTCATCAGCATACAAGGAACTCCCATTGTGGCACTTCTTTCCACTAACGCAGATCACAACCTATCTGTGACTTAATAACATATAACGATTTCAGGTTTTGCAAGGAATGTTATCTACAGAGTAGTAATAACAACATTCCTATAGTTACCTAAGCTGTCTCACTTGTTCCTCATCCGCCTCTATGGATGTAGGTGCTATTATTATCCCCATTTTACAGATGGGGCAGGTGAGGGTCAGAAGTGATTTGCCCTGGGTCACACAGCTATCAAGTGTCTGAGGCAGGATTCGAACCAGGGTCTCTTCGACTCCAAGTCCACTGCCACGTGCCCTCGAAAGAAAAGGTTGTGCCCAGCCCACAGCCCAGTCCCCTGCAGAGATTTTCACGGTAATTTCATATTGCTTTTGTCTTTGGTTTCTGCTGATGTTTTAGGTGAGGTCTGCCACAAATCCTACACGCAGTTCTCCAATCTCTGTCGCCACAAACGGATGCACGCGGACTGCCGGACCCAAATCAAGTGCAAAGACTGCGGACAGATGTTCAGCACTACCTCCTCTCTCAACAAGCACCGCCGCTTCTGCGAGGGCAAGAATCATTACAACCCCGGGGGCATCTTTGCCCCGGCCTTACCTTTGACGCCGAGCTCCATGATGGACAAGTCCAAACAGGCTCCCAACCTCAACCACGCCGGCCTCGGCTTCAATGACTACTTCCCCTCTAGACCTCATCCTGGAGGTCTGCCCTTCTCCACGGCCCCTCCAGCCTTCCCCGCCCTCACTCCAGGATTCCCGGGGATTTTCCCTCCGTCCTTGTACCCCAGACCGCCTTTGCTACCTCCCACCCCGCTGCTCAAGAGCCCTCTCAACCACACCCAAGATGCCAAGCTCCCGAGCCCCCTGGGCAACCCCGCGCTGCCCCTGATCTCAGCGGTCAACAACAACAGCCAGAGCATGTCTGCGGAGGAGAAATTCGAGGGAGGCCTGGAGAACTCCTACCTGGAAAAGCTTAAGGCGAGAAACAGCGACATGTCAGACGGCAGCGACTTCGAGGATGTGAACACCACCACGGGGACTGACCTGGACACCACCACGGGGACCGGTTCTGACCTGGACAGTGACGTGGACAGTGACCGCGACAAGGCCAAGGACAAGAGCAAACCTGCTGAGAGCAAACCGGACTTTGGCAGCGGCTCGGTGGCTCCCGGGGCCCCCAACAGCATCAACGAGGTCCCCGTCTTCTACTCGCAACATTCCTTCTTCCCTCCTCCTGAAGAGCAGCTGCTCCCCACGTCAGGTGCGGCCAACGACTCCATCAAGGCCATTGCCTCCATTGCGGAGAAATACTTTGGCCCAGGCTTCATGGGGATGCAGGAGAAAAAGATGGGTTCTCTCCCGTATCATTCCATGTTCCCCTTTCAGTTCCTTCCCAACTTCCCCCACTCGCTCTATCCCTTCACGGACCGCACCCTGAACCATAATTTGCTGGTCAAAGCCGAACCAAAGTCGCCCCGAGATCTCCACAAGGTGGGCAGCACCAGCTCTGAGTCCCCTTTCGATCTCACCACCAAACCAAAAGAGATGAAACCCATCTTGCCCACCCCCAAGATCCTCCCCCAAGCCCAAGCTTCTGGAGAGGAGCAGCCTTTAGACTTGAGCATTGGAAACCGGATCCGGGCCAGTCAGAACGGAGGAAGGGAACCCCGGAAAAATCACATTTACGGGGAGAGGAAACTCCTTCCTAGTGAAATGTTGCCGAAGATCTCTCCATCCCAGCTCCCCCAACAGCCTTCCCTGCACTACGCCAAGCCATCACCTTTTTTCATGGACCCAATATACAGGTATTAACATGCCCTGCCCTCACCCTGAACACATCGGGGTTTTGGCAGACACTCTGAGGGAGGTGGGCTTGGGAGGAGATGGAATTGGCAGTGGGATGGAAAGCTCCGAGTCTCACTTTCACTTGAGGTGACCCCAAGATAACTCAAAAGTTGTTTCACAAATAATTGCAATTTCCTAACAGGGTCTGGTCAGACAACTCTCCTAGATACGGCCACTTCCAAATAGCAAAAGGTCTGATTTCTGGTTGTCATTCATTCATGTCATGTTATTCATTCATTCATTTATTCAACGCATAGGTCAGGCCCTGTGCTGGGTGCCGAAGACACAAAGACAAAATATAAAACAGAGCCTACCCTCAATACGCTTACATTCTACTATAGAAAAACATAGATAAATAACTATAAACTATATACACAAAGGAAATATAAATTATTTATATGAGGGAGGTACCCCTCATTTGGAGGGTCTGCATCCTTCAATATAATGGGACATTCCTTGCTCAGATAGACTTAGGGTTAAGGAGGATCAGAGGAGATCTGACTACCTCTCAAAAAGCATTTCAGTGCAACAAGCATTTTATAAATGCCTACTAGCCAGGATGCTAGTGATGCTAGATAGTAGCTAGAGAGCTAGTCTGTTCTCAAGGGACCTACATTCTAATAAAGGGAGTAGAAACAGATAGATAGATAGAAATAGGTATATACACATATACATCCCCATATATCTGTATGTCCAGATGTATGTATATACACACATGTGTATATGTGTGCATGTATATATATATATATTTTATGAGTGTGTGTGTGTGTATGCACACATACATACTAAATAGGTACAACATATAGAAAGAGAGAGTAATTTCAAGGGAAGCATCACACCTGGGATGGATCATGAAAGGCTTTTTGAAGGGACTGGCACTTGATGTGAGCCTTGATTGCAAAAAGCCAAAGTGAGAAAAAAAAAGTGTCTGAGCCATGTGCAAAGTCTTAGAGTCAGGAAAACCTGAGTTCGAATCCAGCCTCAGACACTTACTAGCTGTGTGACCCTGGGCAAGTCACTTCACTTCTGCCTGCCTCAGTTTCTTTATCTGTAACATGGGCGGTAACAATAGGACCTTGCTCTCAAGGTTATCAAGAGGATTAAAGGAGATAATAAGCATAAAGTGCTTAATGTAGTGCCCTGCACATAGTAAGTGCTATATAGATGTTAGCTATTATTAATATGAAGTTCCTGGTTTGGTTTGTCCTTTGTTCTCGAAGAGGACCATGACATCAGGAAGATGATAGTTTGGAGCGTGATTGTGAAGGGCTCTGAATGTCCAGCAGAGACTTTGTTTTCATCTAGAGGGAATAAGAAGCTTTGATAGCTATTGGAGGGTGCATTAGAGAGGAGGAGTGGAGGTAAAGAGACCAAACCGGAGGCTGCTAGAATAGTCCAGGCCTGAGCTAGGGGTGGAGGCTAAGGGAGGAGCTCTGCTGTGATTCCGGGGGACACACGGGAAGTTGGAGATCCCGACCCCGCACATCACAGATGTTTTTAGATCCTGCCTGGGGCCTTCTCCAGGTGTTCTCCCTCATCTCCATCCCCATGAACCAGATTTTTCTGAACTTTTCCCCCATTTCCAGCTGCTTCTCCTGTTGCTTCTTTTACTTCCCAAAAGGGGGCTAGCCTCTGCTCTTCCCACCCCTCGGGGCCTCTCTCATTCCCTGCCCTGTCTCCTCCCCTGAATTCTCCCCATTGTGCTCCCTTGGACAGCTGCATCCAACCCCAGGTCCTGGAAGTTCGCCGCTCTGTCTTTTTAGCTCCCTTCCTAACGGATCCTCTTTTCCCTGATAAGCAATCACTAGCCAAGAGCCCTCACCCTACACTTTCCATTGCCTGACCCAGAAGGAGAAGGCAAAGTTATTTAGTCAAGACCACGATAGAGCAAGACAGAATTGAGTGGGAATGTTGCCCTGTTCCTTGGCTTCTTTCTACTGCTTTCTCCTCCCTTCCCTCTTTCCTCCTCCCCTGTTAACTTCTTCCCCTTTCCAAAGTCCAGACCAACAGATGGATTGGGGGGCAAATCATAGATTTAAAATGGGAAGGGACCTCCGAGGCCAACTGGTCCTACTCCATCATTTTACAGAAAAAGAAATGGAAGCCCAGAGAAAGTGATTTGGCCAAGGTCACACAGCTAGTTAGGGGTAGAATTTGAACCCAGAATATAGTCTCCTAACCCACCTTAAATCCTGCTTGACTTCCAGGGGGTGATGGAACAGTAGGAAAGAAGTTGGATTTGGAATAAGTTTCTTCCTCTATAAAATGAGGAACATGACTTCTAGGGACTCTTCCAACTCTAAACCTATAAACCTTTGCTCTGTCTTATCTTTAATGGTTGTAACCCTGGAGGCTGCTAAGAGTGGACTCACAAGGTGAGATGGTCCTCTCCCTGGATAAACTGAGATTTCATCTCATTCTCAAGTCACTGAGCCCTCTGACTCTTGGGAATTCTATTCCCCAAACTAACCTGTTTGACTTCCTCAGTTACAGTTTTCCTGCTTGCTTTGATAAATAGGTTTGGTCTCTTAAAAAAAATATGGGGAGGGGGGAGGAGGGTAAGAAGAACAGGACATAGCAGTCTAGAATTGAGAAAATAATTCTCAGGGAAATTTAAACTGAGTCTAGAACCCAGCCACCTTCCTGAAGATAGCGAGTGTGGATAACCAGTGTAAGTGGGGCTGACCATCAGCAGGCAGAGGGGACCAGGGCTCCAGGAGACAAGGCGGGTGAGGACCCCACACCTGCCCCGTCCCCGGCTCCCTGCTATTGTGTGGTTCATAAATGTGGGAAAAGGAATTATGTCAGTGCCTAACTAGGCCAAGGAGCTGTCAGCTTCAACGAAGATTAGTGAGGGACTCATTTGATCCGCCAACTCCTCCACCAAAGCGTCCCTTCTCACTTGCTTACAAGCACACCATCTGTGGTCCCTCCAGGCTGGCCTCTGTCTTCTGACAGATCATGCTTTCTGCCCAGTGCCTGACATCGTTAGCCTTGGAAATATAAAAGGAAGTGGGGGTAGGGGTGCAGAAGGAGACAGAGAGAGAGAGAGAGACAGAGAGACAGACAGAGAGAGAGAGACAGAGATAGAGACAGAGACAGAGAGGGAAGAGACAGAGAGGGAGAGGAGAGAAGAGAGAGAGAAGAAGAGAGAGGGAGAGGGAGGGGGAGAGAGAGAGAGAGAGACAGACAGACAGAGAGAGAGAGACAGAGATAGAGACAGAGACAGAGAGGGAAGAGACAAAGAGGGAGAGGAGAGAAGAGAGAGAGAAGAAGAGAGAGGGAGAGGGAGGGGGAGAGAGAGAGAGAGAGAGAGAGAGAGAGAGAGAGACCCTCTGTGCTGTTCGAGAAAGCCCGGCGAAGGGAGATGGGAAGGGGCACAGAGGGAGAACCAAGGAAATTATTTTCAAGTCGTCTGGGGTTCCAGCACCCCTATGGGTTCTCATGACAAATGTTATCATAACAAGGCTCAGGCAGGCTTTGCCAATTCAAACAACAGGACCTGGATTCTTGGGCAAAGCCAGGAGACAGATGTGAGGTGAGGGAAGGAAGGAAGAAGCATGGTTTGTCTGCATTCTGCTGGGCTCCAGCAGCTCAGGACCGGGGTGGGATGTTTGCAAACCAAATTGTGTAATATATGCCACGGTCAGACTCCCAAGTCTGAGCCAAAAGAGGTGGGGAGGAAGAATTCTATATTTAAAGCTGGATTCCACTCCAGCCATGGGCACTTACTAGCTAGGTGACCAGAGCAAGCCTTTTACCTTCTCAAGTACTCGGTGTCCTCATATGTATAATGGAGGTCATACACAATACTGGCACTTCCCACCCCCCCCCCATAGGGTGGTGATGAGAAAAGCACTTTGTGGTGTAAGGGAAAGACCTCTGAATTTCGAGCCAGAAGCTCAGGGCTTGAACCCCAGCTATGGCATTTAATATCCGTGTGACTGGGGAAGCAGTTGAGCTTCTTTCTTGAACTTCTTTAAGACGGAATTGGATGAACTGGTCTTTAAGGCTCCTTCCAGCTCTAACTCCTAACTTTATAGAAGGCCCAGACTGGGGAAAGGACCTACCCAAGGTCACACAGTCAATGACAGCCAGTATTTGAGCCCAGATCTCACTGCTTTGCCCTCCTTTTATAGGGAGGAAAGCCTGTTTCTCTAACCCCCTCCCCTTTTCCTCTTCCATCAAATGGGGATGACAGTAATAATACCTATGTCACAGGATTGTCCTGGGGGTCCAATCAAAGTGCTTTGCAAACTTGAATGGAGTCTAGAACCTTGAGCAAATATTACCTGAAGCTCTGGACAGGGGCACATTTACAAAAGGGAGAGCAAGGAGGGAAATGTAGCTGGTCAAAATTGTGTTGTATAAAACATAGGTGAGCACTGAGGAAGGGAGGGATACAGTGGAAAGAGTCTTGCTCTAAAGTCAAGGGACCTGGGTTCAAATCCTGTCTCAGGATTGTAGTTGCTTGCTTGTTGTATGACCTTGGACAAATTCTTTAAACTCTCTGGACCTCAGTCCCCTGGTCTCTAAAAAGAGCGCATTGGGCTAGATGATGTCTGAAATGCCTTAGATTTAGGGTCCTGTGAATTTTCCAATGGTGAAAGCTGAATCACCAGGGCAATGGCTGTAAATTCTACCTACCTCAGCAGCCCCTGAATTTTAGGAAGGTTTTAATGAAGAAGTAATGGTCTCTTACAAATGTGGGGTAGTTTATACTGGGCAAAGCTATTTTGCATATATCATTTCTCATGGGTTTCCTACGATCAAGGCCTGAAGCAGCCACACAGAAGGAAGCTGACGTCGACAGAGCAGGAGTGATTTACTTATCCAGGATCCCTCAGCTAGTAAATAACAGATCTGGGATGTGAACCCGGGGCTCTGACTCCCCATCCAGCAGGAATTCCAATGCACCCCACTGCCTTGTGCTCCAGGAAGCCGGGCTTTCTTCACCAGAGATCTGTTTATTTTGCAATTAACAAAATTAACCAATATTTGGCTGGGGGGCATAGAAATTTAACCTCTTGCCACTGTCTGAAGGGTTTTGTTTAAATGCCATATTTTCTTGTCTGGGATGATTTAGGTGAGCCTCTGCCTTGAGGCAGGGAAATTGGAGGGACGACCTCACAAGGTCAGACAGGCCATTCATCTGTAGCAGCATTTTGTTGAATGCTTACAGAGCAGCCTACCACACTAAGGGCCATGTGGGTGGGAATGAAAAAAAAATCTACCCTTGCCCTCATTGAGCTTACAGTCTAGTCAGTTAACCAACAAGGAACAGCTCCAACACTACCAGTTTGTGTGTCTCTAGGCAAGCCACTTAACTCCCTGAGCCTTATCTGTAAAACTGGGGAAATCGCACTTTTATTATTATCTCCTACAGGGAGTGGTTGTGAGAAGAATGCATTTATATGCATACATATATATGTTTGTGTATGTATGGATATATGTATATGGAGAGAGAATGTATTATGTATAAGTAGCATTAAATATAAGACCAGATAAGAATGTATTATCTATCATATATAAGAATGTATTATATATATTTAAGAATGTATTATATATTATATAGAAGAATGCATCATACATAATATATAAAAATGCATTATATATAGAATATAAGAATATATTAGATTGTATTACATGTAACATATGTAAGAATGCATTATATATAATATATAAGAATATACTCTATATGACATAGAAGAATGCCTTATATATAATGTACAAGAATGCATTATATATAATACATAATAAGAAGAATGCATTATATGTAATACATAATGCAATAATAATAAAAGTACATTATATAATAAAGCATTATATAATACATATATGCCTTAACATACTATAGAAATGGGAAAATTATGATTATTATCACATTTCAAACACTGTGCTATATGCCTCAGGGATACAGAAATATAGAAGATGGTCCCTGGCCTTAAGCATCTCATGGCCAAGTTCAATCAATTAGCAAAGGTTTATTAATTAAGCATCTACTTACTAGCTGTGTGACCCTGGGCAAGTCACTTAACCCCAAGTGCCTCGACCAAAAAAAAAAAGTTAAGCATGTACTGTGTGCAGAGAGGGCATTGTGCTCAGACCTGGGGGACATATAGAGGTTAGATAAGATTCCCAGAAACCCGTCATTGGAAGGGACAACTTCCTAAGCCACCTGGTATCTCCTCTAAAACACGTTGCCTTGGGTTAAAGAACTTGGAGATGAGGGATTCCATTCCCTCCCAACCCATTAGGTTTTCGATGTCTCTGATCCTTAAGTGGTGGTGGTGGCTGTTTCCTGAAGCAGAACCTAAACGTGCCTGCAGGTGGCTCAGTGGATAAAGCATGAGACTTGAAGTCAGAAAGGACCTGAGTGCAAATTTAGCTTCCTCTGTTTCCTAGATGTGTGACCTTGGGCAAGTCACTTAACCTCTGTTTGCCCCAGTTTCCTCAACTGTAGAACAGGAATAATAATAGTGCCTACCTCTCAGGGTGGTTGTTGAAATATTTGTAAAGTGTTTTGCAGACCTTAAATCACTATATAAATGCTAGTTATTGTTGTTATTATGATTGTGGTTAACAAATTTCCCCGGTTGCTCCTGGTTCTTCCCTCTGGGGTAAAGCTAAACAAGCCTCATTCTCTCTCCATCCAAGAAGGCTTCAGGTACTCAAGATGGCAACCATGTCGGACCTGAGTCCTCTCCTCTCTGATCTAAACATCCCCAGTTCCTTCATTGGATCCTTACCTGGCACAAACTCAAGGTTCTTGACCCTCCTGGTTGCCCTCTACCCTCTCCAACTTGTTAATGACCTTCCTGAAATGTGGCATCCAGAACAGAACATATAATCTATACCAGCTGTGGTCTTACCTGGACTTTATCACAGAGGAATCGGCGCCTCTTTAGTGCCAGATAATGAGAATCCCTTCAGAAAAAGAGTCCCTGCCTTCATGGGGCTCAGTCAAGCGCAAAAGACATGACCCTTCCACATACAGAGTGTCCCAAAAGTCTTAGTGCGGCTGGTGCTAAGACTGTGGGGACATCCAGTCTGTACATACACATAAAGAACAGGTTATTTAAACGGGCTGCATAGACTTTAAATGCAGAAAGAATTCAAAGGAGGGAGAAAACAAGAAAGTTGTTTCTAAGCTCTCTCCTAGCTTGCCCATGATCCCATGAGATCCTTAATAAGCACTGGAGAGATCAGAAAAGGCTTCCCTGGAGAAGGTGGGATGGGAGAGCTTAATGGGCGGGTGGGATTTGGATAGGCAAATGGGAGGGGGAAGGGCATTCCAGGAGAAGGGAGCAGACTGAAAGAAATCAGGGAGATGGGAATAAGGAAGCATGGTGAGTATGGGGGCAGGTCCACAGAGCAGCCTGACTCCACCCCAAAGCATCACCTAGAAACTGGGCAGGAGAAGCAGGTGACAGAGCACTGAATTTGGAGTTGGAGGAGGAGGCTCAAATTTCAGCCTTGCTGTTTACTGCCTGTGGGACACAGACAGATCAGTGTCCTTTTCTAGAAAATGAGAGATTTTGACTAGGGGTGTTCCACGGTCTCTGTAAGATCCATGACCTTAAGCAGCATCTAGTACTTGTTGGGGAAAACAAAGCTAACTATGCCAGGTGGATTACAGAGAAACCTGAATGCCAAGTTTGCGAGCCTAGTAGTAATAGTAACCACTAATTGATACAGCACGTTAAAATTCAAAGCACTTTACTTCTACAATCTCCCCTAAGCCTAAGGATACCACTGAGGTAAGTACTATTAGTATTATTTGCCCCATTTGCAGATGAGAAAATTGCCTCCTAGCAAGAGAACTCAGGGATTCTAGACTTGAGGTCCAGCCCTCTAAAACTTTAGGAAATAGGGAGCCATTGATAGTTTTTGAGCAGGGAAATGAGAGACATGAGAGTGATGCTTTGGGAAGGTGATTCTGTTGACAAGCTCCATCCAGTATTTGGTTGACTCAGTGGGCTGTTTATTAAGTGGATTTCCCAGTAGCCTTTTCAGCCCTGTAGGGTATATGTAACCCTCTGTATTGTTGTCCAGCAGGGTGGAGAAGCGGAAGGTGACTGACCCTGTGGGAGCCCTAAAGGAAAAGTACCTGAGGCCATCTCCTCTGCTGTTTCACCCCCAGGTAAAACCAGTGGGAACAGGGGGCATGGTCTGGGAAACTGGCTAAGCCTGAGTGGGTTCTAGTCTCTAGATATAGGTTATCATCATCCTTATCCTTATTATTATTACCAATAACAATAATAATCCTACACTATATAAAATGTTTTGCAGTCTGCAAATCATTTTCATATACATTACTTTCTTGGACGGCTTCCTGGTGAGGCAGCCAGGGCAGGTCTTATTAAGCCCATTGTACAGACATAGAAACTGAGGCTTCAAATCAATGGAAGAGACAGGACAAGAGCCCAGTTCTGAATCTGCATTTCATGCCCTTTCCACAGTCCTTGTTACCTCCCTCTGGCCTGCTGAGAAATCCAGATTTCCTATTTCTCTAAGTCACTAAAAAGTCTCTCTAAAAAAAGTCCATTCTCCCTGAGTTGGTTCACACCAGGCTAGGTGGTTTTATTCTTTCCTGGGGAAAACAATGTGCCTCACCCTGTACGAGGCCCTTTGGGGGCTTTTGCAGGTAGGCAGGCAAACTGAGCTGGTCTCTCCCATAAGGCAAAATTTCACGTCAGAGATCCAAATCCTCCAGGCTTTGCCATTTTCTACCCGCAGGACGAAGCGTGGAACACAGTAGGAGCCTGAAAATGCGCTTTGATTTAACCTGACTCCTTTTCCCAATTTACCTTCTTCCCTCAGACCTGCCCCAGAGGCCCCTCTATGTGCCAGGGCCCAGGCCTTCCATCCCCCATCTATTGTTCCCTTTTTATACCTCGGATAAATAACCCTCTGGTTTGTGAAACCTGGGCCCGGCCCCTGTTCACATCTAAACTTGTCGTCCCTCATTGTTTTTCCCGGCCCAGAGAGTTTGGTTAATAACTTCCCCCGATTTTCCTCCGAATGGGCTGGAAAAAGCCTACGAGCCAGCCAGGCACATCCTGTGTTTGTGTTAGTGAGAATGGTGAGGGGTTCCTGTACAGAATGTGATAGAGAGGATCGGGCTGGGGCCGGGAAGCCGGTGAGAAACTCTCGAGAGTGGGCCCAGAGACAGGAGGGTGGGAGAGTTCTCATTGTTCAGACAATGAGAACCTCAGGAGACGGTGAGCCCCGGCCCCCGAAAAAACCTCCCCCCACCCTCTCTCCTGCCGCCTCCTCATGTCCGAGGCGGGCTGGGGGGGGACAGGAAGGAGAGAGATTTGGAAGCCTGGTTATCGCCAATAACTTATTACATCAAATAGGCTAAGGGTGAGATAGCAAGCGGTTAGAAACCACCTGGTAACTGATGCCATTTTCAAAATCCAGTAAGGCACTCTCTGGAGGAAATTGATCTGAGAGCTGGAAATTTATCCCCATCAAGAGAATGAAATGACCCTATTGTGACCGAATGGGGGTCCTTCCCAGAGATGCGGCTGTTCCAGGTGCAGAGGCAGGCATAGGAGACCCTGTCCTGCCCACTGGACCTCGAACAGCCTTCCTCGGCTGAGGAAGCCCACCTGGCTTGGTGCTCTGGCTTTCCTTCCATGGGAAAACAAGAGAATCTGGCAAGGAGAGGGTGACAGTAGTAGCCAGCATTTCCATAGTGCTTTGAGGCACTTGGCTGATATTATCTCATTCAATTCTCGCGATAACCTCATGAAACTGACTCTTTCATCTCCCCCATTTTACAGGTGAGGAAACTGAGCCTGAGAGAGGTCAGGCAACTTAGCCAAGGTTGAATGAACAGTTAGTACCAGTCTGAGGAGTGATTTGAATCCAAATCTTCCTGACTTTCAAGTCTAGCAATGCAGCCATTGCCTCAAGGTCTAGCCTCCTTCAGACTCTGTCCACAATTGCTAAGTTGCCCTTTATGTTTTCCAAGAGGCTTTTTCTACCTGAGACCAATCCAAGTGACCCAGGCCCCTTTGTGGAGGTTTGCATAGGTTGTTTTTTGTTTGATTTTTTCGTTTTTAAGGTGAGAATGAGGTTCAAGCTTTGCTCCCCTCCCTCTCCATTTTCTCCTCCACTGTAAAGTTGTTTGTTGAGAGAGTTCAGCTGGGTTGCTGCCTATTCTCCACCATCTTCACATAATAGGCATTTCATAAATGTTTATTGACTTAGATTGGACAGACTCAAGGAGAGGTCATAGAATGAGAATGGAGGTGACTTTAGGAACCATTCTAGTCCAAGCTTTTCATTTTAGAGGGAAGGAAACTCCAGCTTAGATGCAAGGAGAGTACAAAGGTGGGCAACGGCTCATGGGAGTCACCGGGGAAGGGCACTGACCAGCATCATCTGTCCAGATGCACAAAAGCCCGGGTACCAGGCTCATCTCTGAGATTAAAGACAGCCAACTCTGGCCCATTAACACCTCTCCCTACTCTTCCTCTGTTTCAACCTCTTCTTATTCCTCATCATCCTCTTCTTTGCCTTTTTTTCTCCTTCCCTTTCTCTTACTCTTCTTCTTCCTCATTTTTTCTTCCTCTTCCCTCTCTGTCTTCTTCCGTTCTTCTCTCTCCCTCCATTTTCTCTTCCTACTACTCCCTCTATTTCCTTCTCTTCTTCCTCTTCTTCTCTTCCTTCTTCCTGTTTTCTTTTTTCTCTCTTTTTTCCCCTCCTCTATCCCCAGGACAGCCTGTGGCCTCTGCTCAGAGTTTTTAAAAGCCTCTCAACCTCTTTGCCAGCTGCTGTCTCTGACAAAGCGGGAGTGGCACCGAGAACAATACAGTCCATCTCCAGGTGTTCTGACAAAGGCCTCCAACTTGGGCACCTGAGTGCCTGTGTTTTGTTAGGTGATGGGCAGCTACAGCCCAAAGCTTTGCCACCAATGACAAGTGACTGGGGCTAAATGTTTCTTACTGTATATCCCTTAAACAAGGCGCTTCAGTCTCCAAAAGAGAGGACTGGGGTCAGCGGGTAGGGGGGAAGAAAGGGAACTCTTGCTTCCTGCCCTCTCACCCTTTTTTAAAGTTTGTTTAGAGTGGTTGTCAAACTGTGAAAGATTTAACTACTCTGATCAATATAATGATCCAAGACAATTCCGAAGGACTCTTGGTGGAAAATGCTATTCATTTCCAGAAAGAGATGGAATTGATGAACTCTGAGTGCAGACTGAAGCATACTTTTTTCACTTTCTTTATTACTCTTGCTTCTGAGGTCCCTTTCAGTTCTTAGATCTGTGATCCTTTGATCCAGTCTCCCACCAGAAAGAAAGGGGGGGGGGAAGGAGGGAAAGGAGAGAGAGAGAAAGAGAAAGAAAGAAAGAAAGGAAGGAAAAAAAGAGAAAGAAAAGAAGGAAAGAAGAAAAGAAAGAAGGAAGAAAGAAAGAAAGAAAGAAAGAAAGAAAGAAAGAAAGAAAGAAAGAAAGAAAGAAAGAAAGAAAGAAAGAAAGAAAGAGAGAGAGACAGAGAGAGAGAGAGAGAGAGAAAGAAAGAGAAGTCCTTGTCCTTCCAGACAGATAGATGAGTTGCCCTATGTAGTACATGGAAAAGCCAGGATTTAATCTCAGGTCCACCCCATCCCATCTGCAGCCCTTGTCACAGACCTTTCCCAAAGCCAAGGGACCCAGAGGTTTTTTAAACCTGCCATCCTTTCTTCCAAATCCATTGTTCTTTCTGTAGTTCCTCACTGCACAAGGTCAAACAGTTGAGAAAGCAGCATGGGTCATATACTAACAACTAGCATTTATGTGATACTTTATCTTCAAAGCATCTTCTATATATTAACTCATCTGAGCCTCTCCTCTGAGAAAAGTATTAAAGGGATTATTATTATTTCCATTTTATAGATGGGGAAACTAAGGTTAAGGGGTTTTGCCCCTAGTCTCATAGCTGGTAAGCACCAGAGGCAGAATCTGAACCCAGCTCTCGCTGACTGCTTGCTGCCTTCTCCCTAACATCATTTCTTTCTTGTGTGAGAGCAGATGTCAGCCATCGAAACCATGACGGAGAAGCTGGAGGGCTTTGCAGGCATGAAGACCGACTCGGGCAGCTCCCTGCAGCCCCTCCCCCACCACCCCTTCAGTTTCAGATCCCCGCCCCCAACGCTGTCAGACCCCATCCTTCGGAAGGGCAAGGAACGTTACACGTGCAGGTAACTTTCAGCCTGGCCGAGTCACTGGGCATCCATCAGAAGGGGCCGGGAAAGACATTCAGGAAATCAGCTCCATAAGTCCCATGGTAGCAGCACTTAAAGCATTCCCTCTGATATCTTTTTGGGTTGGCTTCTGAGCACTTGACCAGTCTGGGTTTTTTGTTTGCTTGTTTGTTTTTGTTTTGTTTTCTGGGAAAGATCTTCCAGGGACCCCTGGCCTCCTTGGTGAAGGTCTGGTGCTCAAAAGACCAGAGTTATCACCTTCCTCCTAATCAGCTGAAAAAGTTTGCCCCAATTCAGCTCCAGACCCTGATCTATTGGACTTCTCAATTAAATTCGATAAGTGTTTATTAAGCACCTACTGTATGCCAGGCATGGGGGACACAAAGACAAAAATCAAACCATTGTTGCCCTCAGTGAGCTTCCATTCTACTAGGGAGAAAGACATTATTGGAAACCAGGTAGAAAGCATGAGTGGCTTAAAGTGATCCCTTCCCAACTTCCAAATATGATAAAAGACCCAATTTGATGAGTCTTTATGTCCAAAGAGTAACCCATGTGACAAAGTCCTGGCTCTGGGGCCAAAGGACAAGGGTTCAAATCTCAGCTGTAACACTTAGCATGTAACCTTGGGAAAGTACTTAACATCACCCTCCCTACCCCCAGGGGATACGTGGCCCAAATCTCACCATCCCCCCCCCCTTAAATTTATCCCAGGGGGCAGAGACCCTGTAGGAGAGAGAGACAGAGACAGAGAGAGAGAGAGACAGAGAGAGACAGAGAGAGATAGAGAGAGAGACAGAGAGACAGAGACAGAGAGTGTCCAGGGAGTCCACCTAGAAAGGCATTTATTGAATATGTACTATGTGCCTAGCACTATGCTAAATGATAGAGACACAAATGCAGAAGTGTTACAATCCTTGGCCTCAAGAAGCTTACATTCTAATAAGTGAGCTGAGACATATAAAGGAATGGTGGCCAGGGAAAGGAGTTGGGGGATGGAGTAGGAAGATGGGGGAGGACCCGTTGTCTCTTTGTTGCCACAGGACTGCAAATGCTGTCATTGCCCTTTAAATGCCCCTGGTACAAAGTCCCAGTTGTCCCACCTTGGTTATGGTTCTAATGAAATTAAAGAATAGTGGAACACCACAGAATCCCCAAACTGCTGTTTTGTGTCTCCTTCCCCACCTCATAAGTAGCTTGAGGGGGCTAGGAAGGGTGATTTCTGGCTGGGGTGAGGACATCTGGAAGTAGAATAATACCCCAAGTGGTCATTGTGGTCACTAACGTAGCTTGAGCTAAGGATTATGAAAGGAGATCTTCTGGGGGCTGGCGGGTTGGGAAATCATAAAATGCATTTTTAATCCATCTGGAAAACATTTGAGAATTATTGGCTATTGGGGATTATCTGTACCAATGGTCCCTTCCATGGGCGGATAAGCTCATTTTAAATTTGGAAATGGGATCCTAGGAAAAGGCCACATCAAAAGAACCTTACCAGAGCTTACACAAATGGGGTTTTATGGTATTCAGGGACTCCAAGGGTGATAGTGTGTTCATTCCCCCAGGTACTGTGGTAAGATCTTCCCTCGATCAGCAAATCTCACTCGACACCTTCGAACGCATACTGGGGAGCAGCCATACAGGTAAGGTATTTTACTGTTCCAGGGGAAAAAAAAAAGCTACTTTTTAAAAATGTAATTAAATTTTTGTTGATCCATTGTTTTTAAATTACTTACATATCTCAATGTAACCCTTCCTATTGCCTCTCCCAGAGAGCAGTCCCTTCTAATAAAGAATGAGACAGAGGGAAAAAACAATTCAATCAACTTAACCAACATATTAGAAAAAGTCAAATGCTCTATGCGGCGTTCTATAGCCCCCACCTCTGCAAAGAAGCTGGGGCGGAGAGGCAGCCATTTTTAGGGGTGCATCCAATCCTTTTTTGTTTGCTTTTTTCCTCCGGAGTGTAGGTTTTGTGTGTGTGTGTGTGTAGCAATATTAAGCATCCACCAACATGGTGTGATGGGACTGCAATTCCCCCATTAGATTCACCCCTTTGACTTTCACTGAAGGCCTCTGCTGAGATACCAGTTTCTTGCCTGGGGAGGGTGAGTTTTAGCATCAGGTAACTTCAAGTATCCATGGAATCCTAGAGCTGGAAGGGTCCTCAGAGATCCAATCCCCTCATTTTACAAAGAAAGAAACAGAGGCTTACCTTGTCTTACTGAGATCAGGACCAAAATTTGAACTCAGGACCTCTGACCGTAAATCTAGCATGTGTCCCTACTCCTAGCTGCCTTCCTAATAAGCAAACCCTAACAATGTGTAAGACCTCAGGTGGGTTCTGGGATTACAGTAATAAACATGACCTTGAGCCTGCCCTCAAGAAACTTCCATTCTAAAGGAGGTGGGGGTGGGTAGAAGGAATCAAGACCTCACTAAATGGTAAGGGTTTGGGGTCCCAAAGGAACCTGTGGAGTTAAAGACTACCTCAAACACATAAGAGGCCAGGCTGGCATGGCCCCGGTGTAGACACAGAACTGGAAGGTTACCTAAAGGTCATCTAATCTAACCTCATTTTCAGAAGCTGGCCCAGAGACATAAAAGATTTAGGCTGGAAGACACCTAAGACATCATCTAGTCTACCCCCTTCATTTTACAGATAGGGAAACTGAGGCTCAGGAGAAGTGACTTGCCCAAGGTCACTCAAGAGCTGCAATTCAACCTCAGATGTTCCCATTCCAAGCTTAGCACTGTCCCTACTCTAGGGCACAACTGAAGACAGAAAACATTGCCAGTCTTTTGAGGTTAATGGCTAAGGCGGGGATAAACAGAGGAAAAACAAAGATTAGAAGAGCCATAACCTGACTGCATAATGACATAAGAGGAGACTCAGTGGGTCAACAAGCATTTATTAAGTACTTTCTATGTGCCAGGTACTGTGCTAGGCACTGAGGATACTATCCCTGCTCTCAAGGAACTTACATTCTAATTAGAGGAGACAACAAGCTGGAAAGTGGGGAATGGGGGCAGGGTGGAGAGAGGATACAGGATAGGCTTAGAGCTTAGAATTCCGGGTGTGGGGTCTAGGTCACCAGTGGGAAGGAAATGGAGATGATGGTATATAGGGGAGAAGAAAGAGGGGGCCTCTGGGCCTCCAGACATTGTGTGGATTCCAGTGGAGCACACAGGATAGCCACCTGTCATCCCTGGTTCTTGCTACATGACTGTCCCACATCTCTGTGGTGGCATCATTCACATGGCACTGGAGTCAACCCCAGGGTTCTCAGATATTATGTCAGTAGATGATGAACTCTTGTAGGCTCAACCAAACTTGAAAGCGTTCAAGTAGAGTCCTGGCCCAAACCTCCATTAGCTTTCTCAGAATTGGCTGGGTTAAGGACAGAGACTATCATTACCAGAAGGCTAATCGCTTGGTAGGGGCAGCTAGATGGCACCATATTGTATAGAGCGCCAAACCTGGAGTCAAGAAGACTCATCTTCCTGAGTTCAAATCCAGCTTCAGACACTTCCTAGCAGTGTGACCCTGGGCAAGTCACTTAATCCTGTTTGCCTCAGTTTCCTCATCTGTCAAATGAGCTGGATAAGCAAATAGCAAATCACTCCAGTGTCTCTGCCAAAAAAAATAAATGGGTATGCCTGAACAACAATAAAAACAGTCATTTGGTGATAGATTCTTTGACCATAGCAACCCATCCTTGAGCATCACAGACTTAGAACTAAAGGGACCTTATAGTCCAATGCCCTTATTTTATAGATGAGGAAAGTGAGAGTCAGAGAAGGACCCAGTCCTCTGATGCCCAATGCAGCCTTCTTTCCACCATGTAGGGACCAGTTCATTTTTGTCCTTATATCTCCAAACCTTATTCTAATGCATAGTATAGGATCCACGTAATAAATGCTTGCTGATTAGTTTGATTTACATGCTAATTGAATTAAGACATCTGGCCACTCTCTGGAGTCCTCAGTACCTTGGGGAAAGGTTAAATCGTGCTGGTGGAGCCTCGTATGGCTGTTGAATCTCACCCTTCACAAACCCTCCTCTCCTATCCCTGTGAAACGTGCGCGTGGGGCCCACAATATGTCCGGCCAGATTGCTGCAATTCTCACTTTTGCCCTCCCATGATCAATGAAAGCTCACAGTTATTCACCAATCGTTTGTTCAGGCTTTCCCCCCTCCAAAAGAGGGTGACACACAGCTTAACAAAGGTTAAGGAAGAAAAGATTGATTTTGTCTGCTCTTCTCCCAGAAAATGAGCTGGGTGTTTTTCCTGTAGTAGAGAGCTGACTTCTGGATGGTGTTTAGCTGAAATAGCCCCCCAGAGAGCCAAGGCCATGTTTCTAGAAGAATTTAATTATCATTGATTTCTTTTGCACTCTCCAAATTGTGACATCCAACTTAGGGTACAATAATTGTTTGGGAAGCTTTTTGAGTTTGTGTTCTTGTTTTTGCAAATCCTGGCTTCATCTGAGAAACATTGTGCTGTAACGAAAAAGGCATGGAGTTTGGAGTTGGGAAGGGCCTGAGTTCAAATCTTATTTTGTAACTTATGCTTACAACACCCTCTCTCCTCACCTCTACTACATCTCAGAAAGCCTAGTCTCCTCCAAAGCATTTGTATCTGCTTAATAAATGCTTATTAATTAATTGAGCTTTTAGCGCTCTGCCAAATTACCTTGTTTATTAGCAATAATAATAATAATAACAATCGCTAGCACTGATATAAATCTAAAGGTAGCAAAGTGCTTTATGTATATTATCTCATTGATCTATTTGTGTTGTTTTCTCCAGTAGGATGTATATATTTAACCTAATATATTTTGCATGCAATTGTATACAATTGTATACAAAAGTTGATGTATTGTATATCAATGTATGTGTACACGTGTTGGTTTCCCTAATGGAATGTATGCTCCTTGAGGGCAGGAACCGTTTTCTTTGTCTCTCCAGTAATTAGTGCAGTGCTTGGCAATGGCAGATACCTTATTAAATGGTTATCACTCAAAGAATTATGTGACTACCCAAAGTCCCAAAGATCAGGCAGTCAAGCTGGAATTTGAACCCAGATCCACTGCCTGCAAATCCAGTATGTTGTGATACAATCCTTAGATACTGTACTATGTAGCCTCTAAAGAAAGGGCAAACACATTGTTTTAGAAGGGGATGTATTTTATCAGGAAACTACTTCATCTTGCTGAAGTAGTCAAACTCAGTGACATTTGAACCACCTCCCTTTTAAACTCTTGCTAGAGATTATGAAAAATTTGCCTCAATGTAGGTCAAAGAGTAGAAAGAAAGAAGAAAAGAGAAAGGAAGGAAGGAAGGAAGGAAGGAAGGAAGGAAGGAAGGAAGGGAGGGAGGGAGGAAGGGAGGGAGGGAGGAAGGAAGGAAGGAAGAAAACAAAAAAAAAACAATCTCACATGTCTATATTGTGTTAAAGCTTGTAAAGTAAAGGGCTTGATGCCCATTTTTCCACAGGAACCTCACAACAGCCCTGTGGGGTAGATGTCAGTGTTGTTGCTTTTTTTACAAAGAAAGAAACTGAGGCTTAGGGAGATGAAGTTATCCACCCAGGATCACACAGCTAATAAGTATTTGAGGCATGTTTTGAATCCGTATCTCCAAATCTGTCAAGCATAGGACCCTAGATTTAGATCTGGGAAAGACCTCTAAGACCATTGTGTCTAACTCCTTCGTTTTACAGGTGAGGAAAATGAAGCCCAGGGAATTTAAGGGACTTAGCCAAATCACACAGGAATTAAACACGGGAGGCAAGATTTGAACCCAGATCTTTTGACACCTTACCCACTGCTCTTTCTCTCATGCTTCCTCTCAAAGAAAGTTGAGAAGTGGGGGCAGGGGAGGATAACTGTTTAATTCTACTAATGCTGTTCCCTGGAAAGTCAAAATCATTTTGGTTCATTCTGAAATTATATTGCACATCTCTGATGCTAAGAGCTCCCCTTTCCTCATTCATTAAGAAGAGATAGTTTTAATGACACTTCTATTTTGCAAAACCCACAACTTCAGCCTTGGAAAGACATAAAACCTGACCTGGGAAGGAGAGGAGAAACGGGCTTCCCCCAGGCAGCCTGAGTGCTTAGCATCAGGAGTATGCCAACCACATGGCTTGTGAATTACACCTGGGGTTCGAGCCTCAGCCGGGGGAGCCTCAGAAAGGCTGTTGGCTCAATCTGCCTGTGATTCCATATAGAAGGATGGGCTGCTTCTTGGCGGCTCTTTGGGGTATGTTTTTCTTTCATTTCCTTTCAGGAGCCCTAGCCCTGTTATCTACATTAAGCTGAAACCTCCAAGCAGAGTGGGCATTTAACATGCGGCTGAAGTCTGTGTGGGGCTGCTTTTAAATGGTCCTCCTACGGCTGGATCTTTTTATTTTTGTAGTCCAGCTCAGCTGATGGCTCAGGGATGCTTTCAGTGCTGGCCTGCTTCCTCTTGCTCCTGTTCTTTCTCCCTTCTTTTATTTTCTTTTGTCAAAAATCATAGAACTGTAGCTAGAAGGGACCTCAGAGGCTGTCTAGGCTACATATGGGGAAACTGAGGCCTTGAAGAAATTAAATGACCCTCCCAAAGTGCCAGGTAGTGAGTGGCAGAACTAAGCTC